AAACCAATAAATACAGATTAAAAAAAAACATCTAAAAAACAGTGCATCAATAATACAGCAACACTACACACTATCACCTATATTTAGTGTTTAATATCAATATATATAAAAGTGAACAAGAGGCACTATATAGGTTCAAATACGCAGGTTCATTATAAGCGTAGTCAGTGTAACATCAAATATTTCGCACGTTCAGAATTAAAATGACACAACACAAATACTATCTTATAATACAATCGTAGGGAAATCGAACAAGACCTTACGTGTTTATGTTTCAAGGAGGTCATGTTACAGTAGTCGGGAAACAATGTGAAGGATCATTCATATGTATATAAATTAAAATAAGTCATGACTTAAAGGTCTTAGTTACCAGGTCGTAAAATCCATTAAAAAAATACATATGTAAACAAAAAGCCGTTTGAAAAAAACAAACTTTTGTAACGCACTTTGAATTAAGGCAGCGGTTGAAAATAGTGGGGGATTTTAAAATATTTAACGAGACCATCTCGTGCAAAACCCAAAGTATACTAAACAATTAAATTTCTAATTGTGTCACTTTAATTTTTTGTTTTTTTTTTAATTGCGATTTAATTACTTTATAAATACAGATTATCTATATTACGTTTACTAACAGCGAACAGAGTTTACGCAATACATTGTTGCATACAATCAAATAGACATTTGAGAAATGCGCTCCCCGTAGCGAAACAATCTGTTCCTCCATCCACTTTAACGTGTGATTTAAAATTGCTGAAAAGTAACCGTGGCTCTTCCTTAACTCGACTCCAACTCTTCCTCCACTCGGGGGAAATAGTAATGTAGTAATCTATATCGACGCTTGAAAGGCAAACGTGACTAAGCGACAATAACTGCTTTGTACATAAATGATAGGCAATAACCATATTCGATGCGGAACAAAAAAAAAATTTATATAGGTCTATTAAAAAAATTTCAATCCTACAGCTAGATTCGTTAAAATAGATTTTTTTTCAGGTATATCAACTTTAAATTAGTCTACTGTAAAGCTCACGCATTGTCGCTTAGTCACGTTTGCCTTACAAGCGTCTATATGATACTGAAATAAAAACTCATATAACAGTAAACACCTGGCATACGATGAGAAAGAAAAAAAAACTCTCGCTACCAGCATTAGAGTTTTAAAATGAATACAAATGATTTTTAAGGATCCGGTTGACTGGAATCAGCTGACACACATGAGTACGGTGGGCGACAACACCTTATTTCAGGTTTATGGCCTTGAATAGGGAAACCAGAGTCCGCAGACAGCCTTTTGTTGTAACGCTTAGATGGGTGGACGAGCTCACAGCCCACCTGGTGTTAAATGGTTACTGGAGCCCATAGACATATACAACGTAAATGCGCCACCCATTGAGATATAAGTTCTATGGTCTCAGTATAATTACAACGGCTGCCCCGCCCTTCAAATCGAAACGCATTACTGCTTGACCGCAGAAATATGCAGGGTGGTGGTATCCATGCGGACTCACAAGAGGTCCTACCACCAGTAAAAGCTCAAGGTGAATTCCGCTATCGACCTTGATAACATGGGTCGAAGTCTGAATTATATCTCGTATTATATTATCATTGGATTGATGACAGTTCATACATAACTATGTGTAGGTAGGTACTATTGATAATTATGACAAATATAACAAAGCTAATGAGATTTCCGCCTAATAAATAAATAAATAAATATATATATATTTTTTTTTTATTGCCTTTGTAGGCAGACGGGCATACGGCCCACCTGATGGTGAGTGGTTACCGTCGCCCATGGACTTCAGCAATGCCAGGGGCAGAGCCAAGCCGCTGCCTACCGCTTAATACTCTCCATAAGCATCGTTTGAAGAAGGACATGTCATAGCGCTCGGGAAACACCGTGGAGGGGAGCTCATTCCATAGCCGGATGGTACGTGGCAAAAAAGATCTCTGGAAACGCACTGTGGATGACCGCAGTGGCTCCAGGTAGTATGGATGAACTCTACTCCGGTGGCGGGCGGTGCGATGGTAAAAACGAGATGCTGGATTTACTAACAATCACGCCACGTTAACTGGTCCCGTGATAAGTTCGTAAAGAACTTGTGTTACAGGTACCAGATATCGGATATAAATGTAAGATTTTTATTATACACATACATATATTTAATACACATCCATAACCCTGGAAAAGACATTTATATTTATCGTACAAATATCTTCCCTTGGTGGAATTCGAACCCGCGACCCCCTTGTGTAGTGACCCTGTCACTTACCACTACACCAGACGGCCGTTAAGTAAGTTAAGACGGCCGTAATATCCTTTGGTTGGGCACTGTAATACACTTTTTGATCTATAAGGCTGTTTAGGTGACTACTTAACTAGGGATTAGAGGGGGTCTATGAGCTCATATATCGAACTTAGATACAAAATAATGTTATTATTATTATTATATATACAGTCATTTATTAATCAAGCAATGTTCGCGGAGGTGACGGCCACGTCACGGCATCATATGAGAAGTCAGCCGAAATCATGATTTATTACGAGACTTGCAATAAAACAAAACAGTAATGCTATGTTTTTTTTTTTCTTCTTTTCCTAGTTTTTTTTTCAGTAGATCTTCCACCGAGCGGATGGTCGATTATGCTAATTAGACCAACGGTCCTGAATGTTGATGTTCGGAACTTGTATATATGCAAACTTATCTTCAAAAAAAAGTTAGAACGATTCAAGTTTTATCAAATTTCTTCTTTTCTATTTAAGTAGCCGCTGTAGCGCGAGATAGATAAATATATAGAGCTATTCAGACAACAAATAGACAATTAAGACGAACATAAATAAATATATCTACTTTTTTTTTTATTGCTAGATGGTTGGACGAGCTCACAGCCCACCTGATGTTAAGTGGTTACTGGAGCCCATAGACATCTACGACGTAAATGCGCCACCCACCTTGAGATATAAGTTCTAAGGTATCAAGTATAGTTACAACGGCTGCCCCACCCTTCAAACCGAAACGAATTACTGCTTCACGGCAGAAATAGGCGGGACGGTGGTACCTACCCGCGCGGACTCACAAGAGGTTCCTACCACCAGAAAAGCATATGTATGGAACATTTATGTATGTAACATTAATCAAATGTCTAATTCAATGTCACTTATAGAACATGTCTAATACGAAACGACGAAAAGCTCTCATTAAACACCTACATACATACATACATATATTAAAAATTATTTATTCATAATGCGACTATTATCGTAAGGTATCGTCTTTCACAACAGATTTATCTTCATAATACATTATATTCTGATTAGTATTTTTCGAATTAGGCACTCGTTACGTTGACCTTGAAAGTGTTAAACATCGATTCAATTATGCTGACACAAAGCTAACAACAAACAAACGCTGTTCATGTTATTGTTTATTTATAATTAATTCCCTTATATGCTCTACATAGGTAAGTAAGAAATGCCTGTGTTATCACTACATAATATAAAACAAAGTTGCTTTCTCTGTCCCTATATGCCTATGTATGCTTAAATCTTTAAAACTACGCAAAAGATTTTGATGCGGTATTTTTTAATAGATAGAGTGATTGAAGAGGAAGGTTTATATGTATAATACTATCCATTAAATAGTGGAGAAATCAATAATAAATTACAGTTTCCGAAGCGAAGCGAGGGCGGGTCGCTAGTATAGTATATAGGGTGTTATTTAGCTACATTAATTATTAAGAAACGCACAAATCATAGCTAGGGATAGTAAGGCATTACACACAAAGTTAGAGCCAGCGATGTATTCATAGTAACAAACAGGCGTTCCTAACTCACAACAACAAGACTAAAACCAACCCGACGCAATGGAAACAAAGCGAACATTTAATTCCTTGCACATGCCTTTAGTCCTTCAGATATCTAGTGACTTACACGGTCCATCACTATTGGAAATACAAGTTTTTGTTAAATTCTCCTATCAACGTCAAAATATTTTATGAAAGCACTAAACTTGCTTATGTCGAAGGCAACCAAATTTATAGCATGCCTGATGGGAAGCGGATTGGCTATGGCAGTACACAAACAAGCCACCGCCTACTGGTAACGACTTAAGGAAGCTTATTTGACACGTCAAAGCGCTGCAGAATCACAGCCAATCACATAATAAGTAGTTCATTCCAGAGTTAATAATTAAGTCACTGAAAGAATCTCCGGAAACCCAATAAGAATATTAAGACAACACGAGCAAAAGTAGTTAGTTAAAAATATATTGTATTTCTATTGTTACGCCGGTAAGGGTAACGCCGAATAGTCGAACGAATATCGAAGGATCTAGTAGCACCTAGAACGCTCGAGAAGTACAACGCCATCTGTTGTCAGATAGCGGAAACACAATACTGGAGATGTGTGGAATATTCTCGATAATTCTAGGGATGTGGTTATAAAATGGTGGCTATAAAACCGTTGCAGGGATGGCACGCAGTCAGTTAGTAATCGGAACTACTCGAAGCGATAATACTCGAACTTGTAATACGGTAGGAATTTATTTATCCCGAACCGCAGCGCGTAACACTATTATTATTTATGTTTATTTTGTATTTGGTCTGTAAATCAGCATAATTAAATTGAGATGTAACGGACACAACGAGTCACTACATTTAGTCCTAACATCATTTATTATTATTTACAATAATGAATATGTATATAATAATCGCACGTAATTCATGCATGATCCGACTATGTTATAAAACTATTGTATTGTAAAGAAAACAAAAACAATAAATGCTAAAGACGCCTTAGCGTTTATTGTTTTATTTCGAATACCACTCGAAAGCTAAACCATTTTATTCGCTTGGCCTAAATAGCAATTTCGATTTGCTTACTGTAATTTAGCGCTGCTTTACGCCGCCATTTTTAATCACCAAAAATTATTGGTAAGCCATTATTAAAAATTGAAAACTAGACAGCGAAAAGCTGTTCCAAAAAAACACCAGCTACTGAAGAAGAGAGTAAAATTGATGCTTTACTGATCCTCGTCCCTCTTTACTGATGTAGACTATCACCATTTCATTCAAAATTTGGTTGCACATTGTTCGTAATATGATTTGGAATTTATTAAACGTTCAACCTATCTAAATTTCCGACTAAATATTATTTACTGCAACCTATTCCGTCATTTTTATTGGCTATCGATTCTCCATAAAATAAGGTCGATTAAAAATTTCGACTTTTTGAATGCAACCACATTCCCGAATCCTCCCTCAAAATTATTGATCTAAATTTTCAAGTCATCAAATGTTTTTTGTTTTTGGTCATTAATAATTAGCGTCGTATTTCTTTACGGAGTTCATTGATTGATTCTAGAAAGGTGTGATCAAAATCTTTCTGGCTCCTGCAAAGTTACATGAACATATTATACACGTCCAATTTTCTGATGTGGTCCGCGGCAAGTTATCAAGGTATCTTAATTATAACAATGTCGTCTATATAGAACTACAATTCACTAACTTAAAATATACTATGCTATGCGTGATATGTTTGCATGTGAGGCGAATAATTTTAAGCTAACAGTATAGTTCTAAGCCTTCACACCGACCTCATACAAATTCAGGCGAAATTGTCCATTGTTACCTTGAAAATACAGTTCATTATGAACTGCATTGTCTCGTGACGTTCCCGATATGTTAAGACTTATAATTCTAAGACAAAATTACGTCTACAGATAGATTCTATAATATTTTTATAACAAGTGATATGTTGTTGGAGGCATCACTCCTTTCAATAATTATATTAACATAGTTATTTTTTACGTAGCTTAATTTTTAATATGAAACTTACAGCGTATTTCTAGGTATGGACTCAGCGCAATTCAACACTTTCATTTAGCTTACAACTAAAAATACTCTAGTTTTTTTTTTTATTGAAATAAAAATATACAAAACGTGTTTTTATCGAAAACAACGAACATCAGATAACACTATATTAATAGGAGAATCGCTAAAATTAAATTCGAAATAACTATCAAAATTCCTAAAATTGTTTTCTATACAAGTTACTTATATGGTGTATTTGAACAGTGCTGTGCCTGTAAGCGCAGCGGTTGCTATGACGTTGAAGCTGAGAGCTTTGCGAGATGGCCACAAAGAAGAAACAGAATTCGTACAATTCTTCGGCGGCTCTGGTTTATCTGGAAACAAATGAACATTTTCTAAATAAATAAATTAAGGTGGAGACAGACTTACGATTACGCATATCTCTCTGATAGTGGTATGCGCTTTTGCACTCTCCAAATACCAAATATATGCGTGTGATAGCATAAATCATGCCCTAATCACGCATATCAAGGCTACCAATCTCGAGACGGCGATATATCGACGCTTGAAAGGCAAAAGTGACTAAGCGACAATAACTGATTTGTACATAAATGATAGGCAATAACCATATTCGATGCGCAAAAAAAAATTATTTCTAGGTCTATTAAAATCATTTCAATCCTACAGCTACTAGCTAGATTCTACTACAGCTGGATTCGTTAAAATAAATTGTGTTTTCAGGTATTTCAACTTTAAATAAAATTAGTCTACTGTAAAGTTCACGCATTGTCGCTTAGTCACGTTTGCCTTTCAAGCGTCGATATGAAATATGTTCCAACTTATATTATAAAAGGATATAATGTAGTAAGCCTGCTATTTTTCATAGGGCTTCAAAATTTCAGATGTGCAAGGAAAACGTGATTATGATCTACACACCAACCTATGATGAACACAAAACCTATTTCCTTATAGACTCCCAAATTAAGAGAATTAATATTCATTACAAGCTTTATCATTAGTGGTAACAGACTTTTATCACACACGTGCAGTTACCAAGTTTCATTCGCTTAATCTAATACGCACCTGTGTGATATCTCGACTGGAAAAAAACGTATTAATTAATCAATAATTAGCGTAGAGTGACACATCGTCTCCAAATTAACTTTTTCAGATTATAATGCTAAGGCGTGTCGTCAAGTCTACCTATCAACCATGAGTTTCCGTTGCTACAATTCTAATGTGGTTGTGAATTTCACTTCATTTCTCAAGGTAGAACTCTCTTTGTGATATCTATGGGCTCTGGTAACTGATTAACACCAGGTAGACCGGGAGTCCTTGTGCTCATCTACAATAATAAATGAATAAAACCAAGCAAGCTCTTTTTTAATACGAGTATACTACTATTTATGAATGATTACACAAATTACTCAAACATTGACCAGTCTTGAACACACTTTAGTTTCATATAGATATATTTTCTTACACCATGTGATGAGACGAAATGAAAATAAGGTTGGTAAGAGAGTGTTAACTATGAATGTGGAAAGATATAGAGGAAGAGGTAGACCTAACAAGAAATGGATGGATTGCGTGAAAGACGATATGGGTAAGAGGGGAGTGAGCGAAGAAATGGTATATGATAGAAGAGTATGGAAGGAGAAAACATGTTGCGCCGACACTAGGTGACTGGGAGAAAGGCAGGATAATCATGATGATGATAATATTTTCTTACACCAATACAATCTCTAAAAACTGCTTTTATCACAAACTTTTGCCAATGCCAAATATAAATCAGGTATATAATATATTTTTTAAATATTAATAAAGATAAATCAGTACCGGAGACTGAAGTTTTAGTGTATAGTGAAAGTGTCCAAGCAAAAATCAGTACTCACTGGTAGCAGCCATTAACTGGGGGAGATGCTTCTGCCAAAAAGCGCACTGTTTAACGCGTAGACCACGACCAACTGAACTGGAGTTCACAGCCAGTGATAAATATTCCCGTCCAAAGGCCGTGTGAACCGGCCAATGTATCTTCGTCATTTCGCCGTTTGGATTCAGAGACGGATTTCTGAAAGTTATTCATGTAAAGAAAACATTTTAAAACAACTGAATATCGTAAACCATAATTCTAAATCAATATAGTCATTTTAATCAATCTTGACAAAAAATACTTACCCAGATCTAGCAAAGTTTGCCCAATATCTCATTAGGCGTTTGCTGAATTCGACTTCTTCCGGCGAATAATTTTTCCCGGGATTGAGAGGCTCCCCGAACACATAGTTTATCTCGTCTGCATGCATCACACCAGTCCAGGACGGCCAAGGGTTATTCTTACTTCGATGCTTGTAATAATAAGTGTAAACATTATTACCAGTTTCTGCATAACGATGGGCAAATTCATTTACTCCACAAGTGAAATGATAGTCTCCGACCATTTTGTCGAGAGCGTTGCGATTCTTTACCGGATCTTCAGGATTCAACCAATCAGTGTACTCGTATATGATAGCCTGCCTTGCTACGTCATTAACATACGGATTGAGTTCTCTCACTGCTTGAAGAAACTGTTCCCGGCTAATTCCAACGTTCTCCTCTTTTGGAAACAATTCAGTTAGGTAGTAGAGTATAAAATAATATCCTTCTTCGGTATTGGATCCCATAAGAATATTTGTTTTCTTAAAGTTTTGATGAGCTAACGACCTTACCGGCATTTCATCCAGAAACGATCCATCGATGATAGGAACAAACGGAAATTCACATATACCCAATGTCCCCCACTCATTATTAACCAATTCATCCGCATTCTTTTTTCGCAAGCATTCTATCATAGGAGCCAAATCCGATCTTGAATGTGGACAGTGGACAGCTTCAGCTAATCTTATGCCACGCAGAATACTTTCTTCTCTCGAAATTATAGCCCATGGGGCTGTAGCGGCTCCAGACTGCATGATGGCTTGAGAGAACAAGTTCCTCGACAAGGGAGACAGCAAATGTAACGACACAGACACAGCTCCCGCTGATTCACCAAACAATGTTATGTTGTGTGGATTGCCTCCAAAATAGCCAATGTTATCTTTCACCCATTGCAATGCCATCAGCTGATCAAATAGCCCAGCATTCCCAGGGACGTCGGCCGTATCGAAAAACAGGAATCCAAGTGATGCAACTCTGTACTGCATGGACACGTACACAACTTTTTCTTCCGAAACAAGTATTTTTGGGTCGTAAACATCTAAAGTGGCTGTACCGGAATAAAAGCCTCCCCCAAATACCCATAGCATAACCGCAGCATTCTTTGGACGTGGTCGTGGTGTCACTATGTTAATATAAAGACAATCTTCCTGCATATCTGTATTGGGATTCCACATCATGGCTCCGGGAAAGTCACCGAATACCGTGTCAACTATTTGGACGCAGGAATGTGGCAGTGTTGTTGTATTAAGAATTTCATCCCCCCAATCTTCGACGGGTCTTGGGTGCCTGAACCTTAAATCGCCCATAGGTTTTTGTGCATAAGGGATGCCAAACCATGCATCGACTTTCTTTCCAGTTGCTGAAGTCAGCGTAATTCCTCTCACCTTTCCCTTCCTAGTGCGAATAACTAGAGGGTCCTCTTCGTCTCCTTTTTCTGAGACCGGCTCATCGGCCATGACCTCCGCGGCTCGTTCGTGATTAGAGTAAAATCTCTCCTCATACTTGGTTCTCTTGGACGAAGTTTCCGCATCACTGGCGCGTTTAGACGAAGTTTCGTGGTCTTCGAGTCTTGGTAGGATGGTGTCGAGTTCGGGGTTGTATCGGACGGCCTCGCCGTGGCCGTGGTAGGGCTGCGGAGGCGCAGGCGCGTGGTGCCTCGCCCGGTGCTCGTGCGGACCGGCAAGGGTGCGCGCCGCCAGCGCCGTCAGCGCTGCCAACACCACGCGCATACCGTCGCTGGCACCTACACCCACAAACACCGCCTGAAAAATAAATAGTAAAATTCTTGTTACGAAATTTAGTACTTGTTTTAAACATTGTATTTTTGAACAAAATATTTATTATTGCCCTTGTAGGCAGTCGATCATACTGTCCACCTGATGGTGAGTGGTTACCGTCGCCCATGGACTTCAGCAATGCCAGGGGCAGAGCCAAGACGCTGCCTACCTTTAATATTTTACTGGTGGTAGGACCTGTTGTGAGTCCGCGCGGTTGGGTACCACCACCCTGCCTATTTCTGCCGTGAAGCAGTAATGCGTTTCGGTTTGAAGGGTGGGGCAGCCGTTGTAACTTACTTGAGACCTTAGAACTTATATTTCAAGGTGGGTGGCGCATTTACGTTGTGGATGTCTATGGGCTCCAGTAACCACTTAACACCAGGTGGGCTGTGAGCTCGTCCAACCATCTAAGCAATAAAAATAAAAAATTATATTCGCATACATTCAAATTAATTGAATCATGATTTTGTAAAAAAAGATGTTCATAATTATCTCAACGTTGAATATCTTGCAACAGATAGACAGAATAAAGGAGCTTTGATTAGTATTTAATAAAATGTGATGCTTATTGTAATCATAGAACCATCGAAACGACGTGTCAACATAAAAAGCATCCAAGCAAATATCCAACCCCTAACAAAACAATAAATAAGGTACAACAAAACAATTCACCGAATATTTAGGTCGGGGGAACGTGAAAAATTATATTATTCTCCGCTCGGAAAGTACCTCTCGGGTCTGGTTTCGTGCAACAACAGGTGATTCATCAAGCCGCGACAATAGCCCCGAGGTATTGTCCCGGATGTATTACAGACGAGATATAAAAATTAAACAGACGGGTAAATCTAAAGTAAGCCTATTGTGAGCACGTTAAGTTGTCCAATGGAGCATTTCAACGGGAAATTATGAAGCACATACGTAAGGTATTCAAAAATTGTTCACGATTGACTTCCACGGTAAAGGAATATCATCGTGTAATAAAAATCAAACCCGCAAAATTATAATTTGCGTAATTACTGGTGGTAGAACATCTTGTGAGTCCGCGCGGATAGGTACCACCACCCTGCCCATTTCTACCGTAAAGCAGTAATGCGTTTCGGTTTGAAGGGCGGAGCAACCGTTGTAACTATACTTGAGACCTTAGAACTTATATCGGTTATTTTTTGTGATAGCATCAGTCGCATAGGCACCCGACACAGAAGACGCGTATGCGAATTTATGCCCACCAAATAACGCAACTATATCATAGGCACAGGCAAGCCCGCATCTACAATCGAGAGGAATGCCATAAAAAATTATATTAAACTCGGCACAACTGGTGGTAGGACCTCTTGTTAGTCCGCACGGGTAGGTACCACCACCCTGCCTATTTCTGCCGTGAAGCAGTAATGCGTTTTAGTTTGAAAGGTGAGGCAGCCATTGTAACTATACTGAGACCTTAGAACTTATATATCAAGGTGGGTGGCACATTTACATTGTAGATGTCTATGGGCTCCAGTAACCACTTAGCACTAGGTGGGCTGTGAGCTCACCCACCAATGAGTATTAAGCGGTAGGCAGCGGCTTGGCTCTGCCCCTGGCATTGGTGAAGTCCATGCGTGACGGTAACCACTCACCATCAGGTGGGCCGTATGCTCGTCTGTCTACAAGGGCAATAAAAAAAAACCTCTAAGGAATAAAAAAGTCGAAGTTCAACCTAAATTACTGATACTTTAAGATTTAAATTCATATTATGAATTCAATACATTTTCTCTTTAGTTTTGTTTTTAGGTTTTTTTGTAAAGGTGGTAGTAAAAAGCTACCCATTGAACATACGAAACAAAGAACATAAACAAATCCCTCAGCTTTTTCTATCAGTGAGTACCTCATAGTCACTGCGTCAGTATTCATAACATCAGATGTTTTAAAATTCATATCTATTTACAAGAAAGGCAAAGACAGAACAATAAGGACCACATTTTATTGTGCTTAACGATCAATTTTCTTTTCTTTCTTGTTGATTGGCTTCAGTGCTTCAGATTAAGCTTCAGTGCTATCAATTGAAAAATCGACTTTTTAACAAAAAATAATAATAAAGGGGCTTTTCTACAAACCAATAAAAAATTTAAAATATCGCTGACTTTATGGATGTTTTAGGCTTGATATTTATTTGATTGTTATAATCTCGCATATTTTGAACAATACATGATATCGGAGGATCTAATCTAAGAATTCCTCCAATAACAATCTAACTTTAAATCATCATCAAATCAAAGCTATTTTTAGTAAACTATTTCATGATTGTTAGTTAGAAGCTGTTACCAGAATCGATTCTGTCTATTTGGAATATGCGTTAAGTATATTAACCCTAATTTTGCAGTTACAGTTACAGTCGTCCATGACCAAGAAAACTGTAAACCACTCGAAACACAATGACCGTATTAAACGGGAGATTAAACCGTAAAAACACTTTTAATTATGTGTACGGCTCGCGAAATCCGAAGAGAATATTACATTAACTAAAATCTTGTTTTATTTTGTGGCTACTGCGTACAGTATTTCCCATTTAATCTTAGTTACCATTCGACCTTTGTCCGTGAGTTAATAGAAGAACCACCACCCCGCCTATTTCGGACGTGAAGCAGTAATGCGTTTCGGATTGAAGGGTGGGGCAGCCGTTGTAACTATACTGAGACCTTAGAACTTAAATCTCAAGGTTGGGGGCGCATTTGCGTTGTAGATGTCTATGGGCTCCAGTAACCACTTAACACCAGGTGGGCTGTGAGTTCGTCCACCCCTCTATGCAATAAAAAAAAAGTCTGTGCCGAGTGATACGCAACAATATTGTTTGAGCAAGCCAAAAAGCCAGTATGAATATGGTATAGTATAATAATATATTATTATGATATCTATACTAATCTATACTAATATTATAAAGAGGAAAGATTTGTTTGTTTGTTTGTATTGAATAGGCTCCGAATCTACTGAACAGATTTGAAAAATTATTTCACTGTTTGGAAGCTACACTATTCCCGAGTGACATAGGCCATAATCTTTTTTGAAAAAAATTAGGGATCCTTACTAAAACTCCAAAAATGTAACCCAAGGTGTAAAAAAATGACCTAAAATATTCTTTACATCGCGTGCCCTGCGAAAACTATTGATGATAGAATAAAATAATGTACTACGACTTTGTAGAACACATTATTATTTACAAAAAGTGTTGCGACAGCATACGTCTAACTATTATAGTTATGCCGCAATAAGTGTTCTTTTATTTTTAAAAATAAAACTAAGTCAACTATCGTTGAAAATTTTGTTAAAGACCCAAGCGGAGCCGGAGTGGGCCGCTAGTAGGAAATAAAACGAAGCGGAAAATTTAAACAAAAATAAAAAATACTTTCTTTAGTTTCGTTTAGGATTTTTAAAAGATAGCATCGTGCGCATCTTTCTCTGTCAACAATAATTCTCACAAACACTCTATAAATAATGACTATTTTCGTTTGCAGTGATCAATAACAGGAAATGAAATCTTGCTTGTTATTTTCTGGTGTAGCGCCGGTCCTCGTGGCTGATAGTGTTTACTTAGTTCTGTAAATACAAACAAACACCGGAACACTCTTCGGTTGAGTTATTGCTGTGATTCTAGGCGCGACTCTATATCGTGGTCACTTTGTTTACTATCACTAGCGGCTTCTATATTAACGAATTTATTTAAAATATTCAACTCCCTTTTGTGGTTTTATTTGTATATTGACAGTGTCTTTATAAGCCATTAACCTTTAACATACCCACTACCCTTAAATTAAAAGAAACCATTCATTTACTAAGCCCAGTATAAAATCTAAGTAAAAACAAAAATATGTACTAAGCGAAAATCCTAATAATATTAAATATTAAGTACAAATCCTCAAGCAGGCAGCACCCTCACTGAGCTCAAGTAGAAATCTTTTTTTTTTATTGTTTAGATGGGCGGACGAGCTCACAGACCACCTAGTGTTAAGTGGTTACTGGAGCCCATAGACATCTACAAAGTAAATGCGCCACCCACCTTGATATATAAGTTCTAAGGTCTCAAGTTTAGTTACAACGGCTGCCTCAACCTTTCGAACCGAAACGCATTACTGCTTCACGGCAGAAATAAGCAGGGTGGTGGTACCTACCCGTGCGGACTCACAAGAGGTCCTACCACCAGTAACTTCACGGCAGAAATAGGCAGGGTGGTGGTACCTACCCGTGCGGACTCACAAGAGGTCCTACCACCAGTAAAATCACAGGTGAAAACGAAATAGCATTCCAAAAAAATGTTTTTATCATTAAATAATTGTACGTTATTTTAGCGCTTTCGACAGCCCTGAAAGCATTATGTAAATCCTGATTATTCAGACCCGCGGTAATATTCAAATGATATTTCAATAAATGCTCCCCGCGATGCGATCTGAATGTTAATTAAAATGTTTTTGTTTTCAGTTTTGAGAAGATTAATTTTGATGGAAAATTGTTTGTCTGAATTTAATTTAAATTATATTAATTTAGTTTTAATACGTCACGCTACAATACCTAAGGTCAATGTTTTACTAATATGATATCAACCCTGCGCAATTTTTTCCTTAACCCACTAGAGAATCGCGTATGCAACTAACAGTCGCAGCATACTCTTATGCAGGCACAAGTAACGCCATCTATCACCAAATAGCAGAAATTGACATGAAAACAACTAGTATCATCGGGAACGTTCGAGAAACGTTAAGGCCATCCGTTGTCAAATAAAGAGAAGGGCTATTGAAACGACTAGTACTATCGAAAATGTTCTAGAAAATTGTAGACATTTCGTATGGACCATAAAGCGTTACAAAGACGAAGACATGAAGATTTTGTGATCAGTTCTACATCTGAGACGAAACGAAAGAAGTTAATTGCGAATTGTGAAGTGTACCTTAAGTGCTTAAGTTCTTTTTATGGCTTAGATGGGTGGGGACGAGCTCACAGCCTACCTGGTTAAGTGG